TCATCTTTAATAAAAGTTTAACTTAAAAAATATAATTTTCTGCCTAGTTCTTATCTCTGTGCATTTTTCTGAGGAGTCAGAGGGAAATTATCATTCCTATAAATCCATCAGTGTTGTTGATTTGGAATATTTATGTCCTTACTACAGTATTCTCCAAAAAAAAAGAGGACATAATTAGTTTCTAGGTATGTACTTTGTGAGAATACTTTGACAAAAAATCAATTTTTGTTACAAAAGTGAATTCCAAATTTTTCTTCAATGTCTGTACATTTCAGGATAAAATTCTAAGCAATAAATAAAAGATCTTTAAAAATATTAAAATTTTAGCTGGTCTCTAGTGTCTCACGCCTGAATCCTAACTACTCAGGAGGCTGAGATCTGAGAATCATGGTTCAAAGCCAGCCCAGGCAAGGAAAGTCCATGAGATTCTTATCTCCAATAAACCAATAGAAAATGGGAAGTGGCGCTGAGCTTCAAGCGGTAGAGTGCTCGCCTTGAGTTGAAGAGCACAGGGACATGACAGCTCCCAGGCCCAGAGTTCATGCCCCAGGATCAACCAAAAAAAAAAAAAAAAAAAGAAGGAAAAAGAAAAGAAAAAAATAGTAAGATATATGATTTCTATCTTTCTCCTTAACTTACATAGGTTAATATTATTACTTGAGCATAGTATTACTCAGTTGTCTTTAATATCTCATAATGTTATTTAGGTTGATTTACTATTAGAGGCAGAACTGTTGAAAGGGTCATAAGAGATTCATTTAGCAAAGTTTTCAAGTGATTGTGTTGTTCATAGGACAGACTTTCATCACTCTCTGAATATCCATTCCTGCTATTAGTGGACCTAATGCTAAAGTGTGTGTGTGTGTGTGTGTGTGTGTGTGTGTGTGTGAGAGAGAGAGAGAGAGAGAGAAAGACAGACAGAAAGACAGACAGACAGAAACAGAGTCAGAGACAGAGACAGAGTCAGAGACAGAGACAGAGACAGAGACAGAGTCAGAGACAGAGACAGAGACAGAGATGGAGAAGAGACTCTCTTCAGGAAAAGCTATGATGTCTGATCCAAATCCAAACTCATAACTATCACACCTTATAAGTTATTACCTAGCTTTCCAGAGTCCAATTTTTCAATCCTTAATAGGGGAATAATATATCTCTTGGATGAAATGATTTGGCACATTCAACAGATCACGACATATTATTTGGGATAGTTTTTTTCTCTCTAATCTAAAACAACCTCCAGAATAACAACAACAAAACAAAGCAAACAACATAAAGTTGTGATATCTATCATCTGTCAATGTTTTAGCCATTTAGCTTTGCCTACTACACATAAACTTACAGTTAAAAAATTGCCTGTTAGGGCTGGGAAGGTGACTCAGTGGTACAGCGCTTGCCTTGCATGCATGAGGCCCTGGGTTTGATTCCCCACCACCACATAGCAAAAAATAAAAATAAAAAAAGAAAGAAAGCCAGAAGTGGCGCTGTGGCTCAAGTAGTAGAGTGCTAGCCTTGAGCTGAAGAGCTGAGGGACAGCGCCCAGGCCCAGAGTTCAGGCCCCACAACCGGACCCCCCCAAAAAAAATTGCCTGTTAAAGAACAGGAAGTCCATATATCTTTTACTAATTCCACAAAGAGGTAAGGGAATTTAAGATGACAGAAAAGCTCAAAGAAGAGTTATGTAATAAGATTTTAAATATTTAAATAATTGTTTACTATCAGATTATTATGCAAGTTTTAAATTCAAGCTAGTATAATTTATCATAGGTGGTTTTCTTGGGGTAATCATTAAAACTAAATACTGAAAATATTTTTGGGGGGCTGGGATGTAGCTAAGTGGCAAAGCACTTGCTTAGTAAATACAATGCCCTGGGTTCAATCCTCAGTACCCCCAACAATATTTTCTTAAAAAAGAACGTCTTTTTCAGGTAAATTAAGAGCAAAGCATCTAAAATTATTGTGAGTAAAATATGCATGAATAATCTATAAAACAATAGATAGTGATGTTATTCAACAGCTTCTATCAGTTCATTAATTTGCTTAAATGGTGTGACAGATTTTATGTAAGTATACATGTGAGGAAAATTCAAACTTCATTAACAGTTCAAAAATTGTCATTGTAAAGGTAGAGTTCATTTCCAATGGTAGCTTTTCTGTGAAAAGCTGATAAAATGCACAGCTTATAAACATGGCAGGAGAACCCTGCTCTGCCTATAACTCTATCCTACAGCCACTATTGAGTTATTTCTATACAGTTATACATCTTTTTTGACACAGACTATAAAATGGCATAATGTAAACTCCACAAAAATATTTACTATACTGGTAACTTCATTGATCAATTGAAAGAGAGTTTATAAAAACATGTGCAATATGATATACTTCTGATAGAATTTTATTCATTCAGTCAGAAGAATAATATTGTGCAATTATCTGGATATAGCAAAGGTCATATTGGGGGCTGAGAAGGTGGCTTAGTGGTAGAGCGCTTGCCTTATATGCATGAGGCCCTGGGTTTGATTCCTCAGCACCACATAAGCAAAAAGAAAAAATCTGGAAGTGGTGATGTGGCTCAAGTGGTAGAGTGCTAACCTTGAGCTGAAGAGGTGAGGGACAGCGCCCAGGCCCAGGGTTCAGGCCCCACGAACAGACCCAAAAATAAATAAATAAAAATAAGAAATGGTCAAATTGATTGAGCAAAGTAAGAAAGACTTAGAAAAACAAAGGATGTTTATTTTCATTCATATTTGGATCTTAGGCCTAAAATCTAAACACACATGTAAATACACATAGAGATAATCCACATAGGACATCAAACAAAAAAAACAATATTATACATGAGAGTGAGATACTATGGTATAACAATATTAGATAAATCTTTAACATAATGGTTGTCAGGAAGCTTGGTAGGGAACTAATGGGAAGAAGAATATACTTAGACTCAGTGAGCATATGTGAACATGGGATTAGGAAACTTGATTGGACTGGTGAGGAAAGGAGTGATAAGAGGTAGGGAAATAATGAAGAGGGTGACAAATCAAGATGCACTGAACACATAAAGGAAAATATACAACTATTTGAACAGAACAGTAAATACACATTTTAAGAATTCCAGTGCCAGGAGGCTACAATGCTTGATAAGAAATGTACTCATTATCTTGCCCATGTAATTGTAACCCCTTTGTACAGTATTTTCACAATTAAAAAATTAAAAAAAAGAATTCCAGTGCCTTTTTTGGTTCACAGTGAATATTCAAAATTTCAGCAAATTTATTAGCCAAAAAATCATTTGACTTTCCATGATTTGTTTTTATAGCTCTAATGCATTCACTCACATTACCGGTTATTTTCTATAAATAATCTAAATTGCAAATGCTTGATTTTGAATGGATTTGCTAAATAATGTTATTCTCAAGTGAGCATTAAAAAAGTGATCACTACTATTATTAACTGGGGAGATAAACATTATTCAAATAAGCTTGAAAGTAATCTTACCTGAGTAGGGAATAGTCTAGCTATTTGACCTCTCAGTATTTCATTTGCTGGGGACAAATGTGTTTGAATTAGTTAAGTGAATCACTAACATGGTAAAAAAAAACAAAACTAAAAACTATTGCTTACTTTTCAATTAATTTCCAAAGCCTTACTAAGCCAATGATTAAACTCCAGGATAGTCAGTGTTCTTTTTGCTGATACCAATACTTACTAGTCTAGTTGTAAGCAACCACTTTTCCATAGACTACTTGAAATAGTAAGCATTCATAGCTCTCATTATGATGTGCGATCTATTTTAAAGAAGGCTTTGTCACATTTTTAATGTTAAATTTTCAAAATGTTTCTTTACAATCTTTGAATATATAACATGATTTCCTTCATTAATATTAAATGGTAAAATTTTAGTGAAATAGTATCAAATTCAAACCACCAGTCTACATTGGGTGATTATGTTTGATTTATGTTTAAATGATGTTTATTCCAGGATACAATTCCCTTTTATCCTTCTTGATTATATATGTTTCATCATCTCCTGCATGGATTTTTTTTGGGGGGGATCAGTCGTGGGGTTTGAAATCTGGGCTGGACACTACCCCTCAGTTCTTCAGTTCAAGGCTACTGTACCACTTGAGCCATAGCACCACTTCCAGCTTTTTCTTCTTATGTGGTGCTAAGGAATCGACCCCAGATCTCATGCATGAGAGGCAAGCACTGTACCACTGAGCCAACTTTTAGCCCTCCTCCATGGATTTTATATTAACAGCATATGTAACAACAAGTTTTTTCCATAAATCACAAAATAGCTTAACACATACTAAACTAATCATTAATATTTCTTTACACATACACAAATAAGTTTAGATACTACTGTTTGGAAGAAAGATGGGGAAAGCAGGGGAGAGTAAGCAGAAGTGATATGTGAATATGTAAAACAAATTGATTTCAATTTATAGCATACTACAATAATTGAGGGCAGTTATTAGTCTGTCAAATTTTTGACATGGAAAATGAAAAGTAATCACAAATAGTAGTTATTTTAAAGAAATAAATGTGTAAAATCTCTTGAGTTGCTTTAACCAGAGCAAGACACATGGATAGTTACCACCAATTGGTATATTATAAACCAAATAACTTTGAAGATATGTCAAACAAATTCTACAGGCAATGACTTTTTGGTCATCCATTGTGATTTTTACTTAAAAAAAAATCCCACCTTCACTATCTCATTGTAAACCACCATTCTGTGAAAAATCACAATTCCATATAGGTGACATTGTAATAAGGACTAAAAATTAATTAAATTCACTCTGTGCCTTACTACTCACATAGTTATTGAACATGAGTGTGCATATGTGAAATATAAAAGTAATAGTTATTTAAATGAATTCATATGTACACACATGGTAGTCCACCATTAATGGTAAAAATTGAATAATCCTAATTGTGACCAGTAAATAAAACCCCAAAGGTGTAATACCTTTAGCTTATTACTGAATTGAAATACTCACTGTGGAAGGATTGAAGAATATTGATTGTCCATTCGTCTGTTAATTTTCCTGTTTTGGTTATCTGGACACATTTGAGTTGATTTGAAGAATCTCTCGATTCAATCCAACATATCATTTCTTCATTATAATTAAAATCCAGAGCATGAATTTCATTTTTATTGGCTGAGCTCATACTGGCCATTTTACTTCCATTAAGAAAGAAAACTTCAATTGTTTCTGATGTTGCAATTAGTAGCATAGGTGGACTATCTGTAGGTTCTGGAAGAAAACATAGAACCATGAGTCAAGTAAGAGATTAACATTTTTATATTTTTGGTGGTGGTAGAGGGGTGTGGGGATGTTGGGATGGAGAGGGGAAGGGATGGGAAGGGGAAACAAAGGAGGAGGCAACAATGCTTGATAAGAAATGTACTCATTACCTTGCCCATGTAATTGTAACCCCTCTGCGTGGTATTTTCACAATAAAAAAAACTTTAAAAAGTAAAAAAAAAATAAAAATTTCTTGCTCAATTTTTAAAATAAACTTTGCATACACTTCACTGTATATTTCAGGTCCATCTCTGGGAAAATATTTCATGAAGCGCTTGTTCTCCCTATTCCTTTAGTTATAATGAACTGTCTAAATGTGAAGACAATGCTATTCACATTCATTGATGTTAAACAGGGAAGTGCTATCAGCTAGTTTACTAGCAATGATGATGAATCTGTAATGACTTCCCTGTATGTGTTCTCAGGTCTCCCTTGTAAGCAAGAACATGATTTTATACTTATTTTTATTATTATTATTAGCATTATTAGTATTATTTCGTGAATGTATAGGTCAGAACTCAATTCTCTGAAGAAGAATGCACAAAGCTTATGCTTACAGAGTGTCTATGTGTTGGCTCCACTGATTGACTCAAAAGACTATGTACTTATATATTGTCATAGTTTTAGGTTGTGATTACTGAATCACTTTCTATCCCATTTCTTTGCTAAAGTCAGGAAGGTAATATTCTAGATGTAAAAAGATGAAAGTGGTGACATTAATCAAGGTGTATTATGGTCATAAACTGATGTTAAATTTAAACACTGTTTTACAACTTTAAGATACTTTCACTGTTAAAAAAAAGTTCCATAGACATAAGAGGGACTTGGTCAAAAACATGTTTCTGAACAATGGAATTTTCCTGGTGTTAGCATCCAGTGGAATTTGATGAACACGTATAAATTGCACACATTTTTCAATAGGATAGTCAAAGATAAAAAATATCCAATATTAAAAACTAGTGTTGACATAATTTGGGTATATAATTATGTTCAGAGTAGCTTTTCTGCTAATTAAGAAATAGGAAATATGGGAATATACATTTCTGCATGCTTATCATGAGCCCATCCAACATATCCATGAACCTGTTTGCCTGCTAGTATCCAACATATCAATAAACCTGTACCCTTCTAGTTCCTACTAACTCCAGAAACCATAGCTTGCTTCAAGCTGTTATCATATCTCACCTATGTTATTCTAATGTCCTTCTTTATTTCTGTTCACACTTTCTTTTCTTCACACAAGGCAGAAATATGCCATTTCAACACAAGGAAGAATTATGCCATTTCAACCAAGGTAAATCTGGGCAGTCCAGTACTCATTTCCTCAAAGGGCTCTTATTCTAGGAAAAATAAAAGCCCAAGCCCATATAAAATCTCTAATGCTATATCTGAAATATATTATCATTCCTTCAATTTAATTTGCTTTATTTTACGACTATTGCCTATGGGACACTAATGCTAAACATTGTAATATTGGACAAAAGATAACACATATACTTTAATGATATGATTATATACAGCTGAAAGCAGGATTATTTAATGGTCCCTTATCATTTCTGGCAGGAGTAAAGATTTCAGACTTTTCTGTTTCCATCAGATAACTAATGAAGAGGATTGTGTGTTCTCACTACCAAGCTTAAAACATCAAACCTAGATGTTTTAAGTTTATGCCTATTTCAATTCTGTGTGAGTGTGTGTGTGTGTGTGTGTGTGTGTGTGTGTGTGTGTGTGTGTGTGTGTGTGTGGTCATAGTGCACTGTCTCTGATCTCTTTTACTCAAGGCTAGCAGTCTTCCACCTTGAGCCACAGGGCCACTTCTTGGTTAATTGTTAATGGTTACATGGTTAATTGGGACTTTCCTAACTGGTCTGGCTTGGAACTACCTCAGATCTCAGCCTCCTGAGTAGCTATGATTACTGGCATGGACCATTGGCTTCTGACTGAAATACTTGAATATTGAAATTCTTATCCCTGTAGGAAGATTTCAATCAAGCTATTTGATTTCTTTCTGCCTGCCAGAACACAAACATTTTTCATTTAATGAAAGCAACAAAAAGAGAAAAATGAATGATAATAAACTAACAAAAATGTCTCACTGAGACTGTAAAATAAGAAGTCTAATACTTCTTTACCAATGGATGCCACAGACTTATTTGAAAAGCGTGGGTATAAAACAACAAACACAAAATGTCAGGAATGCTAACATCATTTTCATAATGAGCTTTCTTCGAAGGACCAGCACAATTGTGCAACACCTCTGTTCAATATAACCTTGCCAACTGACCACATCTGAGCCTAGTTAGGCAATTTGCTTCTCTCAAACTCTTAAATCCACTTTTGGACTACATTACATTTGCCCTTCTTGTCCTCTCATTCAGAGGTTTACACTTGGTCTATTTCCTACATTCCTAGTTGTTTTTTTTGTCATTTTCCAGGTGTAAGATAATTGAATTCTCAGTTTAGAGAAGAGTCCTAGATAGCTGTGCTATCATGATAGCAAAAAGAAAAAAAAAAAAACAACAACACTGAAGTAATGCCATTGCTTAATGTCTTCATTTGACAACCAAAGTGAACTGCAACAATACTTTCATTCAAAATGAATTACACTTGAAAGCTTCTAACTTTCAAAGCTTTATGCCATACACATTGAGACAACCATTTCTGAATTAGCTATTAGTCATACTTGAGTATGCCATAAATATTCTTTGGAGAGATGCTGGAATATAACATTGTTTTGAAGTCTTCTGAGAATAATCATTATAGTCAGTATTTATTGACAAAATTAATTAGTTTTGTAAAATAATAAAGTGATTATTTTAATGAAATACATATACACAAGCAAGTTTAAACCTTCAAAGAAATAGAATAGCAGCTGAGAGCTCAAAGATTTATCACATATCAGGACTTGATTTAAAACAAAGGAGGAGGCAACAATGCTTGGTATGAAATGTACTCATTACCTTGCTCATGTAACTGTAACCCCTCTTTACAGTATTTTCACAATAAAAAAACTTATTTAAAAATAAGTATATTTTTTAAAACACAAATTATAACTGGAAAAAAGACACATTTAACATCCATTATGAAAGGATTTATTGATGTTATAGTTACATACCCTTATAGTTATTTACCAAATCTCACTTTAGAAAATAAGGCCAAGTAATGTGATAGGGGAGGCCATTGAGCTTCAGGAAATCACCCACATTTCAGATCCTAAGAATACAAATCTTTTACATACTTCATGATTCAGGTCAGCATAGGCCTGGTGATGACTGTCATTTGTTTCTACCTTCCCTTCAACTGATCTGCTCTGTGCATCATTACCTCAGATTTCTACATGACAACTGATGTTCACCATTATCTCAGTTAATGAGGATGAAATCCTGACAAGAATACAAGCGATGTTCCTATTTTGTGTCATTTTTTAGAGTGAATGGACAGTTTTCCCAAAGGAAGAGTTGGAGAAAAACATCAGATGCCTTTGGTAGTAGGGACACCAAAATCTTACTTAGTGAGAGGAAGACAGTAAAGCACAAAAACATACTCAAATCAACACTCTGCCTCAGAGAACCAAGACTTACACTGAGGATATCTCTACAACAGGTTGTGAATAAATTGAAATAATGTATTAAATTATAGATCAATGTATATCAAACTGTATGGAAAATATAGGTCAACATAGTGTAAGTGAAATAAACCATGTTGAAGACATGGATCAAGTTAATAGAAATGATCCTTTATTAGTTTATTGTATGTTCAAAGATTACATGTTAATATTCTCCTGATTATTTGTAGTAGGAAACTAAAATGTGTAGGAGTAAAATAACTTGTTTTAGATCACATAACTACTTTACCTAAGTATTTATCTTGAAACTCTGTGACTTCTACAGAAACTGAGCATGTAACTTTAAGAATGTTCAGATGATAGACATTTTGTATTTGAGGTTGCAATAAAAAGCCAGTGTTAATTTTAGAAACAGTTTATAATGTGATTAAAACTGTGCTCTCAAAAGGTCAAGCCAGAATTAATATATGGGATTATAATGTGTTACTACAATATAATGAAAAGGATAAGTAAAATATAGTGGAGAGCATACATTTTTTCCATTTAATTTGTATATTGTCTGATTTTTCTTTTCCTTACTTTTAAGAAATATACTATAATTGATGTCAAATTGTAAGGTAAAAGGTAAAAACCTATTTAACATACAACTTTTGTAGTGCAGAAACCTATTTTACACATTACTTTTATGATAATATTCTAGAGTGAGTTGGAAAACTGTCAGATGATAGGACAGATGCTACTGATCTTTTGTAGATTGACACATTATAGAAAGGAAGAGTTGCTATATGTGATAATTTCCCTAATGAAATCAGAGTCATTAGAGAAATACCAGCTCCAAAGATTCCTTAAAATTAAAAACAAACAAAGCAACAAAAAACCCTCTAAACTGCTTCCATATCTGAAGTTCCACATTTTACATAGAAACTATCAATATCCTTTTAAATTAGAAAAGTGAGGCCAGATTATTAAAAAAATTGACAAAGCCAACACATAACTGGATTTCGAAAACAATTTTTTTTCAAAAATTAGGTAGTAAGAATATAAAATATTAATCATTGAGATCTTACATTGGGATGGATTAAAGAAATGAAATTGAAGTTTACATTGCAGAAAATGTGTCAATGTAGAGGATGTGAGAGATATTCAAGGATTGTGTATAGAAATTTTAAATTTAGCCATTGGGAAGAATGAAATATAATTAAAATAAATAGGAATAAATGAGAGCAGAGTAGGTTATAAGAGAAAATGGCACATTGTTGGTCCAGCCAATAAATACAACTGCATTTTATAACCTTGAATGATACAGAAATAAACACAAACTAGTAAATTATGAACCAATATGAATTAACCATCATAGATACTAAACAGTTAACTCATAGTTTCA